ACCCTCTGCCACACATTATTCACATGGTCAGACTTTGGCAACCACCAATATTTGACTGGGAATTAGCCACAGATGCTTGAAGATAGGCACATTTGCCCTCGAACTCAGCTGAGGCCCTCTGCCTTCCTTTGCCCTACTTTTGTTTGCCATTGTGCTTTTGCTACTCCTGCCCAGCGCCTGAGGTTCGGTCAACATGTCCAACAGTCTATGACCATTTGCGAGGGACATTGGGGGATTATTTGAATTCCCCCCGGCCCCCCCCCCCCCCATTTTATTTTTTATTTTATTAAAAAAAAACAGGGGTCACCAATAATCCCATGTCCTTGCGGTGCACAGGTTGCATGTTTCCGGCAAGTCGTTCGGTGGAACCGACATTGCAGCATGCCGATCAAGTCGCAAAGTGTCCAACCTTGGCCTGGGTCCATTCAAGTCACATCCTCAAAATGACTCTTTAGATGGTTGCTTGAAGCGACACGGCCCCTTCAAGTAACCCTCAGCATGTTCACTTGAATGGACCCAGTTGGAGGCATGTCCGACAAGACAGCCCATGCACCTTTTCGATGGACATGATTGGAGTGTGAGTATATATTATTCCTTTACGAAGATCTTGCGGCGAAGGCCAAGTCCGCATACAACATGCTGACAAAGCGTAGATTTTGACCTGCTCCAAACCAACCAGATGCAGTGCATTCCCCCGCCATATTGGAAGTAAGCCAAACATAGTCAAGCGCAAAACTATGGTAAGCCATGGGAAGTTGGAGGGTCTCTTTGGAGTTGGCATTCACTGTATCACTTTGCATGTTCTGTTCCTTTTCTCTCTAAGATCCGTTTGCATAGCCCGGCCTTGCATCTCAGCTTTACTCTCACCCGGTTGGAGCTTTGACCCGTGGTTGAAACCCAGGGGACTGAAGTTTCGGAGTTTTTGGCTCTTTTTAAGCGAATCAGCCTGGGCCTAGATCCGCTCAGTGCAGCTTCCTTAGGTGAGTTTGGGTATATTCGCCTTGAGTCGTGCTCTTATGAATTTTCCACTGCTATCTACTTGCTTAAAACACAAAGCACTGGTAGGTCATCTGACAGAATCCATCGACTTTTGTCCAGTCGGACACCTCATCCACCTCGCTAAGGTGTGGCGCGCGTGAGCTCTGACTGCGGAGCCCCACGGCTGGAGGGTCCCCGCACGCACTGCTGCATCCAGTGGCACATGGAGGAAGGCGCGTTGCCCACAAAACGCGAGAAACACAAAACGAGTTGCTCAGTTGTCCACAGAATCCATGTAGCGAACACATGCGCACATTTGGTGTCGAGGGTGGCCAGCAGGAATCGATTCGCAGCTTAGCATGTGCAGAAAGTGCATCTGGCATGTGCCATTTTCCAGTGCCAGATGTGCCAGGGGATCTCCACTACCATGTGGAAGCACGAGAGGACGGGGATTTGATGCTACATGTCCAGCTTTGGCTTCCTTCTGCGGATGCCGATCATGCCAGGCCCAAGCTGAGGATCCTGGGAGTTTTTTGTTTGCAGCGCCCTGCACAGGGTTGGTACGTAGTCTACTGTGTGTTTGGGGATGCCAAGGCGCAAGTGCTGTTGGCCTAAAATTCATGGATGCCGGCCTGAGTCACGATATGGAGCAGCAATGTTCACGACATAATCTCGGAATTTGCCCTTTCGCCAACAAACACGGAGTTCTCGCTCCAAACGCGCCGTGTGACTCGGAGCCTCCTCCAGGAGCGTTTGCCCTTCTACGCGCCTTGGGCCCCGCTGCCGGCGTATTTTCGGAATCAGAAGGATGAGAAGGAGCTGGGTTGGCGGGGTTTGGGGGGTTGAATCCGACACAGCATTTTTTCTTTTCTTTTCATTCTTGAGCTGCAGTTGGGGCCTTTGGGCTGATCGAGTTGCCAGTACGTGTGGCGATGAGCTGTATCATCGACTTTCCAGCTTTGTGCATGGGTGAAGTGGAGCGGTCGCGTTTGGGTTGGGATTTCAATGCGGCAAAAGGATTGTCAACTCCTGATTGTCAAATCGTGGGCAGGTCGCTGAAGTCTTCGTGGGAGGCGCGAGTAAGATGTCATTGGGGGGAAGGATTTTGTTCATGAGCTCCTTGACTGTTCGGAGGGTCGTCTTTTTCTTCGCGATGTGTGTGTGTAGGTGTGTGTGTGTGTGAGTGTGGTTGGCCGAGGATGTGTCTGAACCCTCCCATATGCAGGTTTAAAGGGCACACCGGTGAAAGGGCAAGTGCCCTGCACATTTGAGGCAGTGTGTGGGTTGAAAAGTGGGGTTTGCCTATCAGTCAAAGGAGCAGTGCCCAAATCCCGACTGGCCATTTGAGCAGGTGGTTTTGCCGCCTGATTACAGCAAGGTTGCAAGGCACATGTAAACCTTTGTAACCATGTTAGTAGACCAACGGTCACTGAGTCTTGGCTGTTGCTCGAATGAGATTGGAGAGAGTGAGTCTTTGAACTTTGACCTCTTTGTGAAATTCACATGGCACTGGGGCCTTTCGCACCACCCAAGGGTTTGACCAGAGGGTCTGAACCAAAGAGATGTTCCAATATTCAAGTGGCCATATGTATCCGGGTCCAAAAGCTGCATTGTGACCCCCCCACTTCATGGATGGCCCCAACCGAAACCTTGCGGGCTTGCAAGTTGAGCCTATTTCCAGCGCGCAAAGACGCCGGGTTTTCCCTATTGGCATGTGCTTCGGGAGAATGAAGGAACCCCTAAAAGTGACCGCACCTAAGGATGTTGACTTTATTTGTCTGGCTTGTTTGCACATATAACCGTTTTGCATGGCATGAATCATCAGAATCATCATTGACATACTCGACCAGCTCTGATCCATTTGGATGTGTGCTTTAGTAGAGCACTTCCCGTGCAAACCCTCCAACAGGCGGTTCGCTATTCTTGAGGGATCTCATTCCCATTAGAGACACATGTCCATTGACAGTTTCCTTTTGGCTCCCCATTGAGGGTTCACCGTGAGACATCCCACGTTTTTCAGCCATCCTTTGTAACGTGGCTATATGTAGAGCCTTTTTGTTTTCCCAATCCCTGAGTTTGGGGGTAGTGAAAACCACCTCAGATTTGAGGAGACCAAGAAACCCCAAAGATGGTTTCTACACCCGGGTGTTGCATGTTCCCGAGAAGCTCTACCTGGACCCTCAAACTACGCGTAAGAATGGTGTATTGCCCCACTGGGAATGATTTTCCCCTGTCTTCCGGGTAATTTGAGAGTTTCCATCTTTCACTCGGTTGCATCGCCTGAGCAAGCCGACTGGCGTGAGTGTAGGCCTGGAGCGCTTCCCGGCGAATGAATCTTTACTGCTGCGCTTGGTGAAGGGCTCCGCCAAGCGCGGAGGCGCCTCGACTGCGAGCTTTGGGTGCAGGCAGAGTTGGAAGGGTCAGATTCAACAGCTGGAAGGAAATGGCGCGATACTTCCAGTTGTCGGTGCTCCAAAGCCGGCAGCGGATTGTACCGCGCGCGAGAACAGCAGCAGCTGCGATGTATCCGAGGCGTCAGCGCCACGGTGCGGGTGCCCGGTGTCATGGGCCCCCCGGCGCCTCCTACGCTGCAGCTCACCAGGACTTTGACGTCGCCGGGCAGCGCCTCGAGGAAGCAGCCGGAAGCAGTCGGGGGATGGAGGTGTCCAAGAACTGAGCACTGGACCCTCAAGCTACCCTTCAAACAGGGATAGTTCACCCCAAGGCCAGTAACCAATTTTTAAGGTTCAAGTACAGTACAGCATTAAAGTAAGCCTAAATGACAGTTTCACCAAACTGGCCCCAATGACAGTTTCAGGTGCTGCTGCCTCTCTGTTTGCCTGGCACGGGAACAGGAGGCCCTGGCCTTTTTGGCCGAGCGTCACCTCTTTGGCCGCGAGGCGGTTGACCTTGACCATGTCGCCAGAGAAAATCCGCCAACGCCTGCGATCTCAGCTGAGGCGAGCAGCCAGTTGTGGAGCTCACTTGGCCGGCCAACAAGGAGGGGCCCACTAGGCGTGGCTCAAGAATAATGAAAGACCATAATCCTTTCAATTGCGGATGCAGGAATATTTGTAAGGGTTCATCCACAATGTGAAACAGACATGAATGACTGTCTCTTGGGACACTTTTTTTGTACCTTTCATAGTTGGCTTCCGGACGGTTCTCGGATCCAAGGTAAGCCGTGAATATCCAAGAGATATAAATAAGAGGAGACATGAGGAATATCTTATTATCTTATTATCCGATGTCCAATTAATCTCAGATACATTTTCATATCAAAGATGATTATTTTCCAAATTGTACTACCGCTGCCAAGAGATAGATCAAGGAGTCAGGACATTCCCATTCACATTCTCTTCTTGATGATCAGGATTAGAATGTGAATGACTTTCCTGTCTTATGTCTTTCTCATTCACAGGAATCTCCCCCGATTTACCAAACACGGAACCCAAAAAGGGGGATCCCCCAAAAAAGTTCCTCTCTCTCAAAGTGACAGTTTACTGGGTTCCATGCGCATTCGTGGTAAGACTTGTGGCAAAGAACCCACTGCAAATAACCAGTGGCTACAACGATCGTTGTGTGTAAGCAATATCTATGCGTATCAACAGTTAGGCTCTTGACTCGGAAATTCACTCGCTCGCCCTTATCCGTCAAAAGTTGCACATGCCGCAAAGACGGTGTCCAACAGCTTCAGCAAAGAGGACCACAGCTGCCTCTAGGTTCTTCTTTTGTTGTTTGCGAAAGCTTGACATGAGGATCGTCCACAGACCCGATGTGGTTTCAGGCTTGGGACCCTCAAAGAAGGCGTATCTCCTTGGGTCGCTATGGCTGTGAAGCTGGACCTCAGCCGATGGCTGGCCGTTGATAGGATCCCTGGGATACATTTGGGCCAGTTCACAAAATCACCTTTACCAGCCAATTCTTGGAGGGTCCACTTGCAATTCAGGTGGGGTGAAGTCTTTGCCAGTTTGATGCACCCTCCCGCCTGTCAGGAGCTGGAAAAGGGTGTGGGCCATGTGATTGAGGCTCGCTCTTTGGGACGCAGCTGATGCCACAGGAGAAATTGCAATGACAAGAGTCACCCCCTACTCCACCAAATACCCACTTTTTGGAGGCATCATAGGAACGACTGACTCGAACAATGGGGGTATGTACGATGGACATCGAGCTTTTTGAAAATCTACCCCAACAAAAAATGGGTATTTGGAGCAGGGGGTATACTGCCAATCGATGGCACCGTGTTCTTTCTCTATGCCCGCAACACAGGTTGCCGTGGCTCTGCAAGTGTTTGATCCAAGCTGGTCAGGAAGTTTTAATCACAGTCAATATATTTGACAATTGCAGAAAGCAAGGGAAGCACAGCCATTGGGACTTTACTTGGACACTCAGAACAGCATATTCTTGCATCCGGACATGTTCCGATTTCCCCGACCTCTGCAAATCGCATCTTGTCCATGCGCCAGGTTGCAAAGAGCCTTCAAGGGCCAATGCAACAAAACCGTGCACAGATTCTCTTGCCAACGGCCACCACAAGCATTCAGTTTAGGGGCACTCTGATGTTTCGTCACGGCAAGTTGAGTCCTGCGATTCAGGGTGCTTTGTGACTTGAGTTCTAACTGTTAGGGAACCTAGCGACATGCAAGTGCAACCCCGCCTGGATCAAGTGATCTCATATTGTCCTTTCAATGGTAAGAGCATTGCCTTGCGGGTGCCACTTCGACATGAGTTTTCTTCTGGTGCTTACAGGTTGGAGATATGAGAGAACCCTAAAATCACTTTGTGGAGGTCCTTAAGCGGCACGCACTAAACACTTTAGAGGGAACATATAGATGTGAACATCTTGGGATCACCTTCGGACATGTCATTTGAAGAATGTTTTTGCATTCATGGAGGTGGGATCCAACCTTCCCGTCATCCAGGATTGGGAGCGTACAGGTTGTAGTGGCTAAAACAAGTCCACCGTCTCATGTAATTCTTTTGGTTTTCCGTACGAACCGAAAAACGAGCAGCTACCAATTTCGGCCGACGGACACGGGCCGTTCTGGTTTCCCAGGCGTCCTGGGAGCTTGGCGACAGCCGCACGGAGTGGGCGACGCTGTGTACTGCCAGGCCGATAGCCGATAGGTGAGGGGGGGGGGGAAGGGGGTGTGGAGGGGAGTAGGAGATCTGCCCAAAAGAGTCGCTTGCTTACCGTAACTCAGGGGAAGTGAAAGCCATGATCCTGCGATTTCCTTTTATTATCTTAGGTTTGGGAATTGGACAATTTGCAGACACGGAGCTGTTGGGTACCCTAACGCTGGACCCTTGGTCGGTTCCTCTTTGAGGCAGTTTCTTCAAGCCTCTGGGGTTCTCGAAGGCTGACAAGAAGTCAGAGCATCATGGAACGATAGAGATTATTGCAATGGTCATTACTCATGGTCTATGATGTGAAAAAAGGTAGAGTTGTGCATATTCCCGATGCACCCATGAACAGCACACGCAAAGTATGGTTTGCCCATCAATACTGTTGAATGATGCCACATGTCTTGGTATTCCGTGACCGTTTCTTACGCGCCTTGGCACATGTTTTCTTCGTCTGACACGGAACCGCGGGTCTTCAGTGCCGGGCCAGCGGTCACCAGGGATTTGCATTTCCCAGTTTGGGACGCACACTTATAAGGGGCTGCATCACCAATTGTGCATCCCTATATTCGTGGCCAAATTTGGTTTTAAAGTGCAACCTTCTATTGTTTTCGTCTCTTGTACTAGGTTGCCGTGCTTGTTTGTGCCGATGACTCTGAGGCAGATGGATTCGGCCAACGAGGAAGCCAATGTTTGCCGCCAGCTTAGCCTGTGAGCTGACGCTTGGAGCCTCTCAAACGCTGTTAGATCACTGTCGCAGAACGTTTGGCCTTTTTTCGACACGCAGCCAGGGCGGTGTTTGCAAAAAGTGGTGAGCCCATTTTTTGTGGTTGTCAAAGGAAAAACGCTGCACGGGGGTTCCCAAGAAGTGGACTGAGCGGATTTTGCTGACACGGCCTTCCCTGACAAGAGGGGTTGGCGAGGTTTCAAGGAACCGACATATTGGAAGGCTATCATATCCAACACATTGTCCACTGAGACACGTGCGCTGGAGGGCATGTCTAAAAATGAAGGCCCCGGCAGAAACACAAAATCCCAAGCAATTGCTGGACCCCAAACCCCCAACCCCCCAACCCTGCTCCTTGTTTCCCTTTCCCATTTCGGTTCTGCTCAACATAACGGACCCTCCAGTTGGTTGGAGTCCTTTTGGTTTCCCTTCAATGCCAGCCAAAAAGGGGTGTGGATAGACAAACTCCTGCACCAGTTGGTAGGCGGTCTAATAGAGTTTCATTCATCCCTGGTGCGAAGGGGATTTGTCCATCCACATTGGAAGGCAGACCCAATGCCAAAGCCCGAGGCTTTGTGCAGCTACAGCAGCCAGAAATCAAAGCTGCAGGACGGGCCACGGGCCAACGGGCCGACGGGCCGACGGGTCGACAGGTGTAGGCGCCGGTCAAACTAGAGGGAGTTGGCTTCCGTTCAAACCAAGCTGAAAAGGGTACCTTAACAAAAACACATGCGTATGAATTTTCATGAGTTGGACGTTTGGTGGACCTCATTGCCATGGTGGTTGCGCATTTAGAAAGAGGCCAGTTGATCCCGTTGTGTTTGAAACAGTTGAACACAGGAGGGGAACAACTTGACATCACAGGGGGTTGATCCCTTCCAAGGTGCTTCCAGGGTACCTATTATAGGCGACAGGGGGTGAGCTTCATAATTTCTTCAAGAAGAGCTAAACATGTCTGGTAGGGTATTCTAGAGACAACTGGAAGCACTTGGAACTTCAAGTCACCAGAATGCGTGACTACCCTTGCCAACTTTCAGTTCAGAATCCCCGCTTCTCAGGGATGTAAGTGGGGGAAGGCGTGACCCCGGAGTTTCACTTTCCCTTTGTGTCTTGCTTGCTTTCATCTCAGACCTGCCTGCCTACCTGCCTACCTGCCTGCCTGCTTGCCTTGCCTTGCCTTGGCTTGCCTTGCCTTGCCTTGCCTTGCCTTGCCTTGCCTCCGTTTGCCTTGCCTTGCCTTGCCTTGCCTCCGCTTGCTTGCCTTGCCTTGCCTTGCCTGCGCTTGCTTGCTTGCTTCCTTGCTTGCTTCCTTGCTTGCTTCCTTGCTTGCTTGATTGCTTCTTCGCTGTTGCTTTGGGATTCGTGCGCGTGTTTTTTTAGATAAGGAACACTCGAAATCTGGAATTGGGGGATCTCCAAAATCTCTCTTGAGATGAGTGGACAAACTCCTTTTTTTTTTTTTTCTCGGGGTACTTCTTTGGGGGCTGGTTTTGAGGGACACCAAGCAGAACACCGACATGTTGGGAGGGTCCCCAAATTTTGGATCGAGTTGGTGGTTTATCAATACATGTTCCAAGGGCGAACCTCCCATCCTAACTTGTGCCGATGGGCGCGGCTTGTCTCCGTACACTTGCCCGGCTTGTCTCCGCATGCCACAAGGGCGGCATCACCGTCGCTCCAGAAAGTTTCTTTTTAGCGCAATGCTCGGACATTGCAGTGCTGCTGTTCGTTTGGCTCAAGTGGGTGGTAGAGTAAACCCAACTTAGGGGACTTATGACCATGTTGGCCACTTCCCCGCGATTTGTTGCCAAACGCATGGCCCGGGCCACCTTTGGAGGGAGCCCACCCACCCTTCCTCCACCCCACCCCTTTCTGGATGGTTTTAAAAGGAGAATAACAGGAAATCCACGGTTCCCTCATGTAGAGACACACCCAAATTGGGTGTGTCTCCTTTTGGGGGTACCCACAACATGGCTTTCTGTTTTCCTTTTGGTTTCTCTTTGAAACCACCAAAATCGGGTACCAGGCGCTGCCTCCCAGTGCTGGCTGCGACTGCGGTGCTTGGGCCCGGACGGGCGTTTGGGGGACCCGTCGCCTGAGGCGCCAGTGGCCAACTTGAACGGGGCGCCGGGCTTGGGGAACACCCAAGAGTTGAACTCTCTTTTCTTATGAGGGGTCTTAGGCTTGGTTTGAGGGACGCCAAAGGGAACCTCGGGCCAACATAGGGCCTTGGGTCCAAATCCCTCTCATGGTTCCTAACAGTTTTCGAGACCCAAGTCCTGAGCTGTTCATTTGGTGGGCTGCAGTGCCTGCACGGTGCAGATGCACGGAAACCCGTTGTTGGTCCTGTCTTTCTTCGGGAGGTTCTGGCAATGGTTCCCCACAGGCCCCGCGGAGCAAGTGCGTGACATCCCAAAGGCAGCGGCTGAAGTCGTAAGGTTTGCTTACAGCAAATTCGACACTATTCCGAGGAAGTCTACGATGTCCAGAGGTGAGCACACATCTTCCAACCCCAGCCCGGAACCGCAAGCAGCCCGACCCTCGGCCACAGGCAGAATCATTCACAATTTGTTTGTCCCCCCATCGCTTCGAAGAAGTACAAGCCATGGTTCCTAGCCAACAAGCAGGTAAGTGGGTGATAACCATGGTTACTGGCCACTCAAGTATCCTGTCGAGTGCGTCTTTTGCCAGACGGACGCCGTGCAGCTGGCTGATGCGATGCGCTCTGCTGTGGCAGCACAAGAGGCCTTGAGGCCTGAGGGGCTTGGGATCTCAAAGCTGGCACTGCAAAAGGGCTGGATTCCTGCAGCATCATTGGGATTAGTAGATGTTGCCTCTTGGATGGTGACCAACTGGGTATGTTAAGCCACTAACAACCCCAAACGGTGGTTGCCAGCTGGTTTCCTAGTGGTTTCTGTTGGACAATCGGCCCAACATGGGCTCAGGTGCCAGAGCTCCAAAATGGCTGGCTTCCCGAGTTTCCGGAACGAGTTTACCGAGTTTGTTTCTTTTGGAAACCAAACATAGCTCCCTTGGTTGCACACGTCAAGATGCTCTGGGGAATGCACAGGTTATCCACACCGGGTGTGGCTGTCCTCTTTGTCGTTGTGGTTGTGCACCTGACATGAATCAGTCAAGGTTTGTTCTGCTGGGCATGCGCTCGGAGTTTCCTGAACGGGTTACAACCAAAGTGACTGTGTTGCCTTTTCTTTTCTTGAGCAAGGGTCATATCCTACAGGTCCGACAGTTTGCGCATTCACCTTTCCTCTTCCCACCAACAGCCACACCCCAAGCAGGTCAGTTCGTTGTCTACCTTTCTGGGAAATGTATGGCCAACAGAGTGTCCGCTTTCCTCTTGGTTGCGCCAAAGCTATCCAAAGAAGGGCCTTTGAGGGATTCGGGCAAAAGACCACCGCCCGCTAAAGCAGTGCCCGACAGTGCCGAAAAAGCAAGTTCGAGGGAAACAAGAGGACCCTTGTCAAAGTGCGGAAACGGACACGAGTCAGGCGAAACACTGCGCAGAAAATAAAAGAGGGGCCACTTTCCGTAGGTTTCGCATTAAGATCAACCACCAACCAGATTGTTGTTTGTTATTCATGAAAAAACTGAAGGTCTGGGAAATGCAGTGGTTGCCATACTCAACCACGCCACAGTAAATCATGGTAAATTCGAGAATCGGTTTCCGAACGTTCCCTTACCAAGGCAATATGGGTTTGTCTCAAAATGGGGGACCAAGATGGTTCCTTTTAGTTTTCCTTACCAACCATGGGTACAAACTAGACGATGAGAGGCCCGGAAGCAAAATTCAATTGAAAATAGTTTGCCATTGCCTTTCTCGGCTGCACTAGCTCCAGCTGTGAGAGTGCCCCGCGTTACTTAAAGGTTATGATTTTCGAGAGCAACCCGCACTATCCCCGCAGAGGGCACCTTGCAATCTGCATGGCACCACAGGGAGAGCGCTTCAACGCGCGCGATCCCTGTAGATCACCCATCCCAAAAAAGGTGGCGAAAGTCTGCAGTTTTTGCACATCGACCAAGCCGATGCCCGAGGGTTCCGCACGCTCAAGAAAAACATGACAAAGTCGTCTTGCATCGACCACGCTGCTCCCCACAGAGGGTTCAGCCCTACCTCGCTGCCAACAAGGGAAGCCTGAATAGTCAAGAAGCGTAAGTTAGAGAAAGTCACATTTTGAAGGGGACAAGTTTGAAAGTCATTTTCACGCAGAAATAACACCCGAAGAGTATAGAAGTGACTTTCACATCGCGACTGGTTTGAAGGGGACTTTCACATTGTCAATCGCACCTTAAAGTTTGAATCCATCAGTGTGACCGACACGAAGGTTACTTTCACATTGCGAATCACCCGCGAAAAGCTTGAAGGTGACTTGATCTGTTTTTGAAGATGTGTCCAACATCGTCAACTCAATCTGGTGTAGTCTGAAGCCGTTTGGGAAGTGCCCTTCCCACTGCTTCCGGGCAAAGCACGCGCACACACACACACACCCATATTGACTTAGCTTCCGGTTCTTCCGCCATCAGCCCGGCCTCACTCAGGCGCGCCTCGGCGCGGAAGACCCCCCGCCGGCCGCAGCAGCTCACCGTGCTGGGCGGCAGCAAGAACCTCTGGGAGGCGGCGTTCGGGACGGTGGTGGAGAGGGCTCGGGCTAGATAGGCGTGTCAGTTTCTTTTTGCGGGTCAACTTTTTGGTCGGCTTTGTGGGGAAGTCAAAAGGTTTCCATACTTCTCCTTGAGGTGAATCGAAGCAACCACGGCAACGCCTAGGATGCTCCGAACCCTTGGCCCCATGTCACCGTTTTGAACATTGCCTGCTTTCCCCTGCTACTTTGGTGGGTAGGTCAACTCTACCATAAAACATGAGATGTTGATGTTGGGGTTGTCTTGTTTTGGCTCAGCTTGGTACCCGTTTTCCCTCAAGGGAAAACCACCAATTTGGCGGCTGGGGTCCTCAGGAGCTGATAGCAGGTCCCTGGAACGGGAAACACTTGGGCCTTGCACCCATGAGCGAGTACAATGAGAGGTGAAATCACCCGAGAAGGATTTGCGATCCCTGAAGCGATCGCCTCGCGAGTTGCAGTGCAGATGGGAGGGTGAACACCAGGGAGCCGCACCAGGGCGGGAAACTTGCCATTGCGCAGAGGCACCCTGTATTTTAGATAGATGGAGTGAAGCCCAAGCGCTCTCGACCCAAAAGCTTTGGGATTCTCCATACGAGGCTTTTGGAGTTTTTGATGAAGATTGTGTGTTTCAAACAGTGCTTTGATGATTCAGGGAACCCCAAAGGTATTCATGTAAACGGGCAGCTTGAACAGGAACATCCCACCTATTTGGAAGGATGGCTTGATTCGGGACTGCCTTTTGACTTTGCTTGATGCCCGCTGCTTCTTTGGCACAAGCTGGATGGCACTCAGTCGTCCCGTCCATCTTGCAAGATGGAGGTTGGCAGGGCCAACCCTTGTTTAAACATGCTGAAGCGTGTAAACAAAATCTCTTTTGGCTCTCTGTCTTGCCAGGTGGCCAACCAACACGGGTCTGGTGGCCAAAAAGGATGTGTGTTTTTCAAGGCGTTTGACCCAGGGCGAAATCAACACCACTTCCGGCCCTGAGGTCGGTCTCCATGCTTTGCGGGCCTTACGCACGTTGAGATCTCAGGGTGAGCTGTGCGACGTGGTGCTGGCCGCAGGAGAAGAGCAGGTGCTGGCACACCAAGCCATCTTAGCGGCTGCCAGCCCCAAGCTGAGGCACGGGGGTCCTTTTCGACTCGCTTTGCCATGAAGCCTCAAGGATCATTCCTTTTTTGATCCTCCCAAAACCAACCATGGAACTGGCATGGGTCCCTGGACCATCGTCCTGGAAACGGGACCAGTGGCTGGTTTTTTAAGAGGAAAGTCCTAGGGCCCCGAAAACTTCAATGCGCTGAGACTACCTTATTGCAACGACACAAGATCGCCTGCCCGCATGCAGTGATTTCCTATTGACCCAAACGTTGACCGAAAAGAAGCCAACGCTTCGGCCGGAAAGTTGGCTCCAACTTCAGGGAGCACATCTTGGCGCAGAACCGGTGCCTTCCCGGCGAACGCGACGACGATCTCTGCCTTCCACCTGAGCCATTGGAGACCCAGACACCCAGTGGTACCCTTTTTTGTGCTCTCTTTTGTGCCAGCCTTTGGTGGCATTTTTTTCCGGGTTTCCCTTGAACATCCGCTAGTGGACACCTCTTTTCTCCAACTCAGAAAACATCCAGCGACCAACAAACCGTTCTCCTCCCGTTTTCTCCTGTCAAACTGAGGAGATCCGCCTGGAGCACATGGCCCCCGCGGCGCTCAAGGCGCTGGTGGATCAGCTCTATGGCTCCCAGGCCGGTTCCGAACGCTGCGTCGGCCCCAGCTCCGGGCTGGTTGTACGGAAAAGGCGAAATGGGGAAGCGATTCCAGCTTCTCACTTCCTGAGTTCCTGAACTTTGAACTTTTTGGGAGAACCATTTTGGTGGCAAATATAAAGTTTGTGCTTTTTTTGGGCCATCCACTCAGCCAGTGAGGCTTGGGGTCCGGCAAGAGAGCCGCACATGGCGCAAGTTTGGGACACAAAAACAGGCCTCAACAAGACAGAGCCCAAAGGTTCGGGATGGGTCGATAGGTCATATCGACCCATCCGAAAATCGAATATGTTGGCTCATGGCGGAGGCCAGTTGACATGGGGTTAGGGACCAGCCTCTGTGGGTTCGTGTTTGAGTCTCTGTACCCTTTTTAGGTCAGGGACCAGGGGCAACCAAGTAGGCATGGCGGAATGCAGCGCGGAATGTGCCGCTAGGTGTGCCAGTCCGAGATCGCCGGGGGGCTGCGCCAGCTGCGCAGCGAGGGCCTCCTGTGCGACATCTTGCTGAAGGTGGGCAAGGAGCGGCTTCCGGCGCATCAGGCGAGGCCTCGGAGTGTCGGAGAGTCGGAGAGAGTCACGAGGTGAGAAGGAGGTCAAAAGCATGGCCGGTCCCTTTAAAAGGCAGCCTAGTGCCAATACGTGCCGCTGGGAATTCAGGGGAATTTGGATCAAGTAGTGGGAGTGGGAATCCTACTCCGAACACCACGGCCTTTTTTTGTGGTTTTCTGCTTCTCCTTGGAAAGGGGCGCCGGGGAACTTAGACCTCAGTGCTGGAAGTGGGCAGGAGATCGAAGGCCCCTTGTCCACTTTAGCCAGGTTGTCCGTACAATCTGTCTTGAGTGAATTATAGCCAGAATGATGCACCAGCCTTTTTCCCACCTTTTTCGACTGCACGTTAAAGCCATTTTTGGCAGATCCGAGCCTCGACCCTTAAAACTGGGCTGTCCAACGATTCGAGTAGTTTTTCCGATTCCAGGAACAATTTTAGTGGCAAACGACAATTTGGTGGCCTTTTTTCGGGAAGTGGGGCGAAACTGAAAATCCACTTTTTGAACAGCTCGGTTGCAACTTTTACGTGGCAAGACTTTGTTTCTGTCTGGACAATCCATCAGCGCCAGGTGGTCTTGGCTGCCAACTGCAGCGGCTTGCGGAAGATGCTGCGTGCCAAGCACACCTTGGAGCTGGAGCTGAACGGCGTCAGCGCGGAGGCGGTGAGGACGGAAGACACGTGTTCCATTTTTTTTAAACCCCCAAAAAAGCAAATGAACATGGGGTGTGGTTTGTTTTTGAGGGCAGGATTCTTTCTTGGGTGGTTGTCTTCACAGGAATTTGAAGACGCTTTTGTTCTTACACCCAGGGTTGATGCCAAACGGGTAAGTGCATCCGAGTCCATTTGTTCACGGATGGGTCTGCAGCACACCAAGCGCCACGATTGATTCCCTTCCATTTGCTTAAGATAATGTTTTTAGTTTTTCCTGTTGGTTTGAAAGGGAATCCATGACTACTGGAAACATGTGCGTCTTTTCCTGTGAACTGAAGGGCAAATGGAGGTTCCCTAAATTGTGAAATTCTGCAATGTGCCTCAATTTGCCAGGGTTTTGTGGTTGGATGTCGTTGACGCGCAAGTGAAGCCAGGACAGTTGCAGTGTTTGGGTGTATCTAATTTGGAAGTTACCCTTTTGGGTCTCAACAGGAAACCAGAAGGAACCCAAGCATTGGAGGGGTTCCATTTCCAAGCTTTGAGACACCCCATTTCAGCAATTGTCTCTGGAAGGAGGGAACGAAAATAGTTTGGATTTCCGGATTTTGTTCCTCAAAGGCCCCCTGGACAGTCCAAAGTCTAACTCCATCTTTAGGAGCGGTTTCACCTTTTTGTCGTGGGAGTTCCTTTCGTGAATTTGCAGAAGGTAGCCTTCATACATTCATAATATACTATCCCTCGAAGCCCAAGGGGGGGGGGCCAACTCAAAAACGACCCCATGTGGGCAAAAACTCGACTCTTTTGCTTCTTGGGTCCATTCCTCTTGATTCCCTTACCAACCATAATGCTTGGTTAGATCAGTGTTAAACTGGTTGGTTTCTCCCTGAATTGGGCATTTTGGAGGATCCTGCTGGACTTTTTGTACGGGGAGGACCGCCAGGTGCCGTCCGAGCTCTGCCGGGACTTGCTGCATCTGGCGAAGGAGCTGAAACTTCCCGCACTCCAGGCGGGTCATCAAGGGTGTCTGTGGGGGTTTTTAAGGGGCCTACCAGAATGGCTGGTTTTCCTTCGGTTTCCGTTGAACACGTACCAAAAAGGGGTACCCTCGAAAAGAGACACCCAAATGCTGTTTCCACCAGACCCGTTTCGGCCACAAGGGAAGCCGGAAGGTTGAGTCAGATTTTGTTTCCAGACCGAAATGTTTTGGCCAAGGGAAGCCCAAAGAGGTCGTTGGCCCAGGAGAGGTGCTTTGCAGAGCCGAAGGAAGTTTGCCCCCAGCAAGTCCTGGAGGTGTCTTCCACCCAGGAGGCTACGCAGGAGGACACGTGGGATGGGAAGAAGCAAAATGGGTACGTGTCAAAATCGGGTCCCCAACCTCAAAAATATGGATATTTTGGTTTTGCGTTTCGTTTCCCTCGCCAGGGCACACACAGAGGTTTTCTAGGTTCATGGGGTTGGAAACATTTGTAATCGGGTCCGTCGCCTTTCATATGGGTTGACCCAACCTGCTTGTAGGTTTGTTTTGGGCGTAACGTATTTTCTAGCTGCACCCATTCGTCGAGTGGAAGTGGCACTATGCCATCACTGCTAGGGACTCTCTTTCCGGTCTAAAGGAAAAAATGACGGGCGTGCTGAGCGTGTCACGTCAAACTCAAGCCCACGCATGGGCCCGCTTTCCCCTTTGACTTCTCTTTAAAGCAGCCCCCAAAGTGGGTATCTTGAACAAGGAGTCGCCCAGGCAGGTACTCTCCTGCAGATCAACATGGACCCTCCAAGGCCGCCATGAAAAACCCTTTGTTGAGTTGCCCACTGCTTCCTGGTACCACTACCATAGCCCAGGGTTTTCGACCGCTGAACTACTGGGCGCATCTCACCCAACTGGGATCCCGCTGAGATGGACAGGAGCCGCCGCGTGTGCTGACCATGCGATGCCTGCGCTTCAGCTCCGGCCCCGTGCCGAGTCCTCCGAAGGATGCGCTCGAGGCGGCGGACGCGGCTGGGGAGATCTACTGCAAGCAGGACGTCGCCTTTCTGCG